GCACAGGCTAATAGACACATGGAGGGGGGCACAGGCTGACAGACAGACACACAGGGAAGCAGAGACACACACAGGGCAACTGGGAGACCGGCACAAAGAGAAAGAAAGAGACAAGCATAGGGACAGACAGTGATACATACACACAAGACAGGGATAAAGACAGAAATAGAGATGAAGAGAGGGAGACAGAGACAAAAAGAGAAATAGATTCACAATAGAGAGATGGAGCTGCAGTGAGAGACACAGAGACAGAGAGAAAGAGACAGGCACAAAGAGAGAAATGCACATGGAGGGAAACAGACACATATACACAGAGGAACACAGAAAGAGAGAGGGAGACAGAGAGATTACAGAAGAAAGACAGAGACACAGATGAAGAAAGGGAGACAGAGACCTGAAAAGAGATAGCTGGACAAGAAAGAGACACACACAGATTGAGACAGAAACACAAAGAGATGGAAACACACACATGCAACAGGGACGAGTAGACCACTCAGCCCCTTGGACCTGCTTTGAAATGATCCTGGCTGCTCTTGGACTTCAGCTCCACTTCCCTGTCTGCCCCATCCCTCATTCCCAGAGAGGACAATGTCTCCCAGTTTCATTTATCCTCAGTGACGGAGGATTCACAACTATAGGGTCAAAAATTCCAAAGGTTCACAATCCTCTGGGTGAAGAAATATATCCTCATTTTGGACTGAAATAACCAAGCCCTTTCCAGAGACTGTGTCCCTGGCCCCATGTTCTAGATTCCCTGCGCCACAGGAAAAACCTTTCAGTGCTGACCCTATTGGAGCCATTTCAGAATCTTGAAAGTTTCAATGAGATCACATTTCATTCTCCTGAACACCAGAGAATATGGACACAATTTGCTTAATCTCTTACCACAGAGTAATTGTCTCGCCCCAGGGATCAATCTAGAAAGCTTTTGCTGTGACTGTCTCCAACATCATTGAGATCTACAGCCCATCAAGTCTGTGCCACCAAACCATTCTTCCTCCGCTACATCGATGACTGTATCGGCGCTGCCTCATGCTCCCACAAGGAGCTTGAACAGTTCATCAACTTTACTAACACCTTTCACCCCTACCTCAAATTCACCTGGGCCATCTTTGATAGCTCCCTCCACTTCCTGGACCTCTCCATCTCCATCTCTGGTAACCGCCTCAAAACCAATATCTATTTCAAACCTACACCTACCTCGACTACACCTCCTCTCACCCATCCTCCTGCAAGAATGTGATCCCATACTCCCAATTCCTCTGCCTCTGCTGCATCTGCTTCCAAGATGGAGCATTCCACTCCTGCAAGTCCCAGGTGTCCTCCTATTTCAAGGATCATAACTTCTCCCCTGCAGTGATAAAAAAATGCCCTCAACCGCATCTCTTGCATTTCCTGCACTTCTGCCCTCACATCCCCTCCCCCCAACAAAATAAAGACAGAATCCTGCTGGTCCTCACATACCATTCCACCAACCTCCACATCCAACGTATTATTCTCCGCCACCTACAATCTGACCACACAACCAAAGAGATATTTCCCTCCCCACCCCTATCTGCCTTTTGTAGGGACCTCTCTCTCCGTAACTCCCTCGTCCGCTCCACACTCCCCATTAACCCCACCACCTCCGGCACCTTTCCCTGCAACCACAGGAAGTGCTACACCTGCCCCTACACCTCCCCTCCATTGAAGGCAAAAAACAAACCTTTGACATCAGACAGGGGTTCACCTGCACATCTGTCAACTTGGTCTACTGCATCCGTGGACTCCTCTACATCGGTGAGACCAAGTGGAGACTTGTAGACTGTTTTGTAGAGCATCTGCATCTGTACGTGACAAACAACAACATCTTCCAGTCGTGAACCATTTTAACTCCCCCTCCCACTCCCTGGGTGACATGTCCATCCTGGGCCTCCTCCAGTGTCACAATGACACCACCCGCAAACTGGAGGAGCAGCACCTCATATTCCACCTCGGGAGCCTACAGCCTGATGGCCTGAACATGGAATTCACTAGTTTTAAAATCTCCCCACCCCCCGGCCTCATCCCATGTCCAACCCTCCCTCTCGTCCCCGGCTCCTTGACCTGACACAATCTGTCCATCTTCTTCCCCACCTATCCGCCCCACCCACCTCACTGACCAATCCCCACCACAGCCTACCTGCACTCACCTATCACATTCTCACCTACTTTGCCCAGCCCCATCCCTCCCTCTCTATTGACTTCCCAGCTCCCTTCCTCTTCCCCAGTTCTGATGAAGGGTCCTGAGCAAAAGCGTCAACTTTCCTGCTCCTCTGATGCTGCCTGGCCTGCTGTGTTCATCCAGCTCTACACCGTGTTGTCTCTGACTCCAGCATCTGCAGTTCTTGCTATTCTCAAACCATTCTAATCCCATTTTCCTGCACTTGGCCCATAATCTTGTATGCCTTGGCATTGCAAGTGCGCACCTAAATACTTTTTAAGTGTCCTGAGGGTGTTTTTTTGCCTCTATCACCCTGACAGGCAGTGAGTTCCAGATTCCCACCATCCTCTGGGTGAAAAAACAAATCCTCACATCCTTTCTAAACTTCTTGCCCCTTTCCTTAAATCTATGCCCCTTGGTCATTGATCCCTCCATCAACTTCCTTCCTGTCTACTCTATGTATTTCCCTCATAATTTTAAACATCTCAGTCATGAGCCCCTTCAATCTTTTCAGCTTCCAGGAAAACAACCTCAGTCTGTCCTAAAAGAGATAACAAGGTGTAGAGCTGGATGAACACAGCAGGCCAGGCAGCACCAGAGGAGCTTTCCTGCTCCTTTGATGCTGCTTAACCTGTGTGTTCATCCAGCTCTACACCTTGTTATCTCAGATTCTCCAGCATCAGCAGTTCCTACTATCCCTGAATTGATTCCCCACCCCCCACCCCCAACCCCAGTCTGTCCAATCTCTTTACATAACTAAAATGTTCAAGCCCACGTAACATCTGGTCAATCTCCTCTGTATCCTCTCCAGTGCAATCCCATTCCTAGTGTATCCTTCCTTAAATATGGGGACTAAAGCTGGACACAATATTCCAAATATAGTCTCACTCAATCCTCATGTAGTATAACCATTCTTTGTAATTCTTGAATTCCAATTCTCTTGTAATAAAGACCAACATGTCACTTGCCTTCGTAATTGCTTACAGTATCCAGCCTGAAGTCAGCATGGATCCCACCCTCAGAGTTCCTTTCCACCACATACTGCACAAGAGATTTCCAAACCTCTTCATGCTAACTTTTCTCAGTTATGAACTTAAGTGTTGTATTCGCAAAGTTCGCCTTCACAACAAGGAGTCTAGTGGTATGCTGAGATCTTTGGTTAAACCAGGAAGATGAGCCTACGTTTATGTTCACTTCTCCTGCGTCTCTAAAGCCTTTACCCTCAATTTATGTTCTTACCTTCTGCCATTTGGTTACTGTAAGCTCAGGGCCGTTTTCCCTCTGACGCTCAGTGCCCATTCCCATTTCTTAACTCCTTTGAACACTAGCCTTGGCCAACTTTTAGCCAACTTTCAGTCAAGGGCCTCATTGTTCATTTCTGCCAGCTATCAGTTGTTCATGTTCGGAGCTGTTTGTAAAACCAGCCATGGACCCAACCGCCCTGACTCCTTACCACGCTATTCAACTGTGAGGGGATTCACCTGAGTAACTTTAATTCGACTTACTTCCACAAATTAACGTTCACATTTCAGCAAGCATCTTAATCAGGCCAGGTTAACCGAAACAGCTAGCACAACTTTGTATACAATGCAGTTATCTACTCATGCATTCACTCAACTCTGGCCTCTTTTCTGGTCTAGTTGTCATCAACTAAGATCAAGCAATCCACTGGCTTATTTCTGAAGAAAAGAAAAATTAAGCAGCAAAGCTAAACTGATAGTACCAACTGAATTGTCTACTTATTTCAATTTATACTATCAAATGGTATTACCTATATATATTTCCAACAATAGGGAGAGAGTGAGAGTAGAAACACACACAGAAACAAAGAGAGATAGGGAGAAACAGAGACGCAGAGGGAGGAGAGAGAAAAAGAGACACACACAAGCACAGAAACAGAAAGACACATGGAAATAGAAAGACACATGCAGATAAAAAGACAGATAGAAAGAGAGAGAGATAGAGAGAAACAGAGATGCATGGAGCGGGGAGAGACAGACAGACACACATATACGCAAAAACAGACAGACACACAGAGATAGAGAGACTCAAGCAGATAAAGAGACAAAGAGATAAACAGAGAGAGAAATAAAGAGAAACAGGCATGCAGAGAGAGAGAGAGATGCACAGAGAAACAGACACAGAAACAGAAAGACACACTGATAGAGAAACAGGGAGAGAAATAAAGAGGGAGAGAGGGGAGGGAGAGAGACATACACAGCGTACAAAGAGAAACAGAAATAGAAAGAGGCACATGCACAGATGAAGAGACAGGGAGATAAACAGAGAAACAGAGATAGAGAGAGAGAATATACACAGAAGGTTTAATCGTTTTCCAAGTGCTACTAGTTATCACCCCTGCCCTATATAGACACAAAAACACACAGCTACAGTCACACAAATGTACATAAACATCTGTAGTTGCACACACAACAACACACACAGCTGCAGGTAAATAGGGCAATATTTCAAAGCAAAAATAAGTCAAAAATCTAGGAATGATCAGCCCATTGGGTCAATTTGACATCCCATGACCTGTGTGTGCAACCACATTCCTGATGAAAATCTGGCTTTGTGGTGAAAACAACAATGACTTGCATTTACATAGCTCCCATAATGGT